CCTGCAGGAGTAACCAGATTATTCCCCAAGTCCGGGCAAACTGGACGGGTTAAAGCGACAGTAGGACTGAACCCCGGGTCGTGAACGTTCAGGATGCCGACCTAAGGGTCCTCCTCATAGGTTCAATGTCCGACCTTGGTGGCCGAACAACTCGCATACTTGTTGATTCCATATCAACAGCGAACAGATCACTTCTATCCGACCGGGAGGGGCACGGATAGGCTCGGACACGCCAGCCTAACCGCCCCCCTGGGAGGTTAGAGAAGCTGGATCCCCGAATAAATTGCTAAGTATTCGTAATGCAAAGTATAGAAAAAGAAACATATGAATTCAAAATTACTTCAGTCAGATGTCACATCAGTCAACTTCATGCTACAAGCAAAAAATAAACAAAATGTACAAGGTCATGGCTGGGAGAACCCATCTCCATCAAATACAACGATCTAGTCAAGGGGTTGCTAGGAAGCTTAAGGAACTCTCCTAGAATTCGAAATTCAACTCAGTCATTGACATGAATGGTCTACTCTTGGCCGTCGCCCAGGTACTACGCCGCCGTCAACATGTGACTGACGCCCAAGTACTATGTCGCAGTCAACTTGCATTGCTGAGCACTCCTGAGGGAAAGCCTTGATTGCCATTTCCACGATAGGGGGGCGCCTGTCGCCTTACATGTTTCGAAGTTCAAACTGGAAGGTAGGCTCCCCGCCGTGGGGCTCTCTCGTCCTCATGATTCTTCACACGTTTGGGGACCTATGTGGGGCATGGAATCCTGCAAATATGACAAAAAGGCTATCAGAGAATCAAGTAAAAAGATAAGGAGCTATGTAGCTCTAAAAACAGTTATAATTCGGGGAGCACCAGCATGCCGCCCACACATATTGGTTGCACTTATGCTTTTCTGAAGGTCTCAATCGGCCTAAATCGACTCGTTTTCTGTGGGGGCGAAGGATACATGCAGTTGCACTGGAACAGTCAATATCAACCTCAAAGGTCTCACCGACTTCAACCATGCAGGGATGAAGGTGTCATCCAAAGAGTTTGGATCGCCCACCTACTTCCAACCACCGAGGAGCAGCACTCTGACCTTGGACCCACCACCGCCCGGGTGGCTACTGGCCTGGAAGTTACACTGCTGATCTCGGATGTCGTCCGCCCAAGCGCCGTCACCCTGGACGGTGGCACTGGACCCCTGCGCTTGCGTGGTCTCTGTCACTGCCAAGCAAATGATGGCGGCAACAACCCTGCCGCCTAGAGGAAGAAGAGCATCGGGGCAACCGCCAGACAACGCGGAACCCCAAGGAAGAGAGACTTCAGCCTAGCCGCCTGGCCACCCGGCCGCTTTGCTGCCCGGCCGCCTGGCTGCCCTATCGCTTTGTCGCCTAGTCGCCCGCTGCCTGGCCATCGGGCCGACGGCTTCCATGAAGGTAACGATACCATCCGATCCGAGGGGGCACCCAGTCGCCTGACCGCCTGGCTGCCTAGGGCAAGACGCACACATGCATGGAGGAAGTCCAGGAGAGAGAAAAGAAAAGAAAGGAAAGAAAAGAGAAGGAAAGAAAAAAAGGGGGGAAATAAAATAAAGTTTGAAATAATTATAAAATAATAATAATGAATTTCAGGAATTTTTGGAAGCTGACATGGATTCTGAAGTCTGGGAGAAACTTGACTGCTGGAATGCTAGGATGCCGAAGAAATTAATCTGAAAAGCTGAGAGCCTTATTTAATTTAGAAATTTCCATAAACTCTGGGATTGACATAATCCGCAATTATGGCTCCTTGATATGTGAATTTTTTTAATGAGCAGCTGACTTGGACTATACTCCCTCTTAGTCGAGTCTACTACTCGACTAAGGGAGTGGGGGACTCGTGATTGGGGTTATAGGACTAGGCCCAGAGCCTAATCGGTTCGGGCTCCAAACTTGAACCAGCAGGTCCAAGCCCGGTAATCTAGAGCTCGAGTCGGCCCAATCGATCAGACCCATCAAGGAGCGGAAGCCCAAGACAGTCTGCCTCCAGCCCAGCTAGGAGCCTGCCTTGCAGCCTGGCCAGCAACCTCCCTACAGCCTAGCTGGGAGCCTGCCTTCCAACCCAACCAGGAGCCTGCGGTCTAGCCCAGGTGGGAGCCTGCCTTCCGGCCCGGCCACCAGCCTGCCTCCAGCCCAACGGGGAGCCTACCTTCCAGTCTTGCCAGGAGCCTGCCTCCAGCCCGGTCAGAAGCCTTCCTCCAGCCTAGCGGGGAGCCCATCGTCCAGTCCAGCAGGAGGGAGCTCAAGCGTCCAGCCTGCCAGCCAGGAATAATAATGGCCAAAGTAATTAATGTGTGACTTAATTATGTATTTAATTCCGTATTAATGTTGTAATTAATTAGCCATTAGTATCTTTGGCAGTTACCATTTGTAATCGTCTATAAAAGGCAAGTTCGATTCAAATAATAGATATGCTATTTCTGGCTACCAAATTCCCTTTGCAACTTTCCTTATTCGTATTACTTTCTCGATTCCTACTTGAGTGTCGTAGGTAGCTTTCCTAAAAGCCTACGAGCGTCCTATTTTGGACCAACACACACACACACACATATATATATGTGTGTGTGTGTGTGTGTTGGTCCAAAATAGGACGCTCGTAGACTTGTATAGGGTGCGGTTCTGATAAGGAACATACACAAAAAAATTCAGCCAAAAATACCACCACGAACCACCTCAAATTTGGGTTCTCCTTTTTAGACTAGATCATGTGTTCCTAATGTGGTTGGTTATATAGCTTGACTTTATTGTCAACCATCTAAATCTGGAATAGTTCACAAAACAATTGTCACCTTCCCCCTCCCTTCCCACCCTCCCTAAATCAGTGAAACCCCGAACCACCGAACCCTAATAAGGGTATGTTTTAGGGATGGAACTGGGCCGGTCCGATTCCGGTTCCGGGCCGGGCTCGGGCGGGTTTTTTTTGCAATTCCTTGGAACGGAATCAACCTGGGTTGATACCGAGTCCGGACCTAACCGGGCCGGGCCCGGTTCAATGTCTAATTTTTTTTTTTTTGCTTTCTTGTTATCCCCTGACCCCCCCCCCCCTCACCCCCCACCCCCAAACCTCCCCAAAATACCCAGCCCTGCCCTAGGAAAAGAAAAAAATTGAAAAAAAAAAAAAAAAATTGACCCGGTCCGGTTTGCCCAAAACTGGGCCCGAGCCCGGCCCACCCGGCCCGCCCAAATGGGCTAAAAGCCCGAAACCGGCCAACCGGTCCTGGTCCGGTCCGGGGCCCCACAGTAACGGGCCGGGCCGGGCCGGTTCTGGGCCGGGCTGGGCCGGTTTAGTCCATCCCTAGTATGTTTGGGAGTTTGGAGGGAGGAGGAAGGCTTTGGAGGTATGTTGTTGGAGAGGAAAGGGAGAGGAGGGTGAGAAAGTCCTTTGTACTTGGGAGTAATAAAATTGGAAAGAGGGTTTTTTTAAAGGAATTATAATTAAAATTACTTTGACATATGACAAATTCAAATCATTGAGCTGATATTAATTTCTAATTTAACTTAAATTACCATCTTGTTAATTATTCTCCAAAACCCTCCAAATTGGAGGAAGTTAAAAATTAAGCATTTGGAGGGTTTTGAAGGGTTACAAAAGCCTTCTAAAACCACCCCTCCAATTTTTTAAACTCCCAAACATGAAAAGGAGGGTCATAAACCCCATTAACATTTCCCTCCCCTTCAAAACTCAACTCCCAAACACACCCTAAGGGTATGTTTGGGAGTTCGGAGGGAAGGGGAGGCTTTGGAGGTATGTTGTTGGAGGGGAAAGGGAGGGGACTGGGGAGGGTGAGGAAGCCCTTCTTTGTATTTGGGAGTAATAAATTTGGAAGAAGAGAGTTTTTGAAAGAATTATAATTAAAATCACTTTGAGATATGAAGAATTTAAATAATTGAACTGATATTTATTTTTAATTGAGCTTAAATTATCATTTCATTAATTATCCTTCAAAACCCTCCAAATTGAGGGAACTTAGGCCTTGTTTGGTTCAAAGGAGGGGAGAGGAGGGGAGAGTCAAGGAGGGAAGGGAAGGGGAAGAAAGGATTTTGATAAAATTTGTGTTTGGTTGGAAGAAATAGGAGGAAATGTTTAATGAAAATATTTTCGCAATTTGCTTTTATTTGATAGCTTACTTAAAAAAATAGATACATGTCTAACTATTCTGAATATTACACCTATGGTCATGAGTCACAATTTTATTTTTCATTTTTCAGTTTGGAATTTTTAAATTTTATTTTTATTTTTTAAGTTTTTTTATTTTTAATTTTTAAAATCTTTAATTAATAATTTTTAAATTTTTTAATTTTTAAAATTTTTAATTGTTAAATTTTTTAATCTTTAAATTTTTTAATTTTTCAAAACTTTTTGTTTTTTTTTACCTTTTTATACTATAACATTTTGTTCATTCACGTAGCAGATGTATAGTTTGTGGTTACACGTTTCCTCCGAAATACTCGATTTGGGAGGTTTAGAATGGGAGGAAGTGGAAGATTTTAAAAGCCTTCCACTTTCCTCCCCTTCCCCCCTATTTCCTTCAACCAAACACACACAAGTCCCTCACTTTCCTTCCCTCCCCTCCGAAACCCTCCAACCAAGCGGGGCCTTAAAAATTGAGCATTTAGAGGGTTTTGAAAGGTCATGAAAGCCCTCCAAAATCATCCCCTCCAATTTTATAAACTCCAAAACATGAAAAGAAGGATTACAAACCCCCATCAACCTTCCCCTCCCCTCCAAAACCCAACTCCCAAACACACCCTAACTATCTATACTCATTGGCTTGAAACTTGAATAACGGTATACCTCTTCTATATGTCGGCATACTCTTACAAGTTACTTGTGTGTAACACCACTTTTACCCTCAAAATTTACTTAAAAATCACTTGTGGGGTGGCATTGCATAATTATATACTTAAAATTGTTTGACTTTGATAAGCACTTTTTTAGGATGAAATAAAAAACTTTCAAAAACATAAATACTCCTTGCTGTTGCTTTTTTAGGATGAAATTGTTTCACTAGTCGAAAATAAAAACTACATACTACTTCCTTTAAACTCATGTAAAATCATGTTGTACATGTTTGCTATGAATTATAAGCAATGAACACTAAAATTTCTCTGTATCACAAGAAAACTATACAAATGTCATTTTCTTGCACGTTAGCCTCCCCCCGGAAAACCAGAGAATACGAACCTGCCAATTCTGAACACTACAAAGAAACAGATAAACCTTTGAAGAAAGCCAAGGTGTAGGGTGAGGTGGACTTTCCGAACAGAGAACACCAAGAAGGAAGTTTCTTCAGAATTTCTGCAGTTTGTGATGTCTGTCTGTCCACATCGGTTCTCAGTTTCAATAACGCATGTTCCTCTTCAGACCCCTCATTGGTTCTTGTGTGAGAGTGGGTTTTGTGCCAAAAAAGAGTCAATGTGAACTTTGTTGGCGCTTTCTTCCCTCCTGAAAATTGAATGGTGTGCCAACCATCTGTACTGCTAGTCTTATCCCCAAGTGACACCAACTCCTCAGAATCATCTGCATCACAAACACAAAACCATATACTAACGTACTAAGACTTAATAGTTCAGTTTATCATGGGATTTATCCCTTAACATCAGACTTGGGATATTTACTTGTTAATCTTTATGACATACCAATCTTAACGTGTGCTCAGGGGACAAAGCCAAAAGTTCAAAATTCAGGAAATTTGAATTTGGGGTGAAGCAACACAACAACAACATTAGCCCAGTGCCGCAAAGGCTCCAACCTACGGTGGGGTAATGAGGGGTCGGATGTACGCAATCTTACCCCTGTATTAAAGGGGGGAGAGACGGCTTCCGGATGACCCATGATGAAAATTGTGTCGAAAATTGCATAGACTGACTGCTGCTTCATAACAAAGAAGCGCATATAGTTTAGTGAGTCATTTTGCTTGTAAAGCCCCCTAATCTACCAGATCTTGCTTGTTTGAATTCGAAGGGTTCTACTGAGATATGAAGACTCACATTCCATCCAAAAAGGTCATTACTATTGAATTATCGATTAAAAGGAAAAACTCAAAATCTTGTATGTTGGTTTATATCTATAATTCTATATATTCGACTTATCCATTATCACTACAAAAGTTTGTAGTTAGAACTTAAAAGGGAGCAGGCGCTAGATGAAGCTTGTACCTTTCAGCTGGAAGTCTTGTACTTCATCAGTGTTAATTGCCAGGCTCCAACGAGTGGAACTTTTTGTATCAACTATAACACGACTAACTCTGCTGCCATTCCCCTTCACATCACTCTCGGCACGAAGCACGGGAATATCTGATTCCTTCCACCCAATTTTGGCATTTTTTACTGTGTAACAGCTGTACTTGACCGAGAAAGTTACAAAATCAAAAGGCTTATTCCTACCGCAAATAAACCCTTCTCCAATCTCTTCAGCCTCTTTATTCAAGTTTCCCGGAGTTGTTGAAAATAGGGATATGTGTGACACTGGATCTTCCTTTCCTGTTGCATCCACAACATGCACAACCTGCAAACAAGTAACATATGCTGTCTGTTTAAAAACTAAGAACCATCTGTTAAAGTACTATATATACTTCCTCCGTCCCACATTGATTTGCAATTTGCAATTTTTAAGGTTGAATGACGATAAAGTTAAATCTTACTACGTATTTGATAATGTTTAGTCAAGATTGTTAGTTCTTGTCTTCTTGATTATATCTTTAATATTGATTTGCAGGCAAGTTGACACACACACACACCATATGCCTCATTGCACAATGCAATTTTAAAAGTGCCACATACACAATTCCGAACCTTATTGTTTTCCCTATCAGTTTTTGAGGATCAACTTACATTAACCGCTCGTGCAGTGTCTTGGGTAAATGGTGGAACAACTCCTACAATCACCATGCCAAGTGAGATGCCAAATAGTATACACGACGTAACTATAATGGGAGCTTTTGCACCTGAAAAAGAGTCCAATATATGCTAACTTTCTCTTTTTCCTTTTGACGGGATAGATGGGATCTGCTAGGTTGGGTGATGGTGAAGAACGCATACCTGAAATATGAGTATATGACAGGAGATACACCATTGTTAAACATACTATAGCTGCAATAAATAATGCAAGAATTGCATTCCCCTGCCATTCAGGCTGGCTTCCTGGATTCCTGCAAATAAAAAAACAAAAAAAAAAATACTTGACCAAACAATAATTTCGAGATGTTTAAGAGAACAATAATAAGATTATAAAAGAAGCATGCCAATCATTTCATCATCACAGGTTATTTGAAATTATAAATATATTATTACCATTTTAGGGTTCATTAGCTATAGTTTAGGAACTTCTTGAAATGTAGATTGTTTGAATATTGACAATTTTTTCCAAATGTCAAATAGGTATTTCGGTATATATCATTATATCATAAAAAAATCAGTGTGGTGGTGGTGAGGCGGGGTGTCTTAAACCATTACCTTACAAACCTAACAGAACTTCCAATCACTGTAGCAACAAGACGAATAATCAAGCCAGAAGTGATTATAAATGGAACAGACAAACCAATCAGCAAGGTCAGAGTTTTGAGCGGTTTGGGTAGCCGCGCAGGTGATAATGTTGCTTCAAGTAGGCCATCTGGGCACACACACAAACATATACACATAGATCAGTTTATGTAATAGTCATCCTGGAACAAACAATAATGGGATCACATAGAATATTATTTTGAAAAATAGAACTACATAAAAGTAAGTGAAACTCCTTTTATATCTTATACCCTCCATCTCAATATAAAGTTGATACTTGATAGTAGATTTAGGCACTCATATTACGAAAGTGAAACTGTATGGTTGAAATTTATTATAAAATAAAAGGAAAAATATCAATCATACAATTCTTTCCTTGAAAGTGAAACAGTATTATAACTGTGAGTATATATCGTTTATTGAGCATGGCCTGACGAGGGGAGTAATAAGTACTGTTAAAGAGCCCTTGAAGTAAAAACACGCTCTGTGTTTCGTACTTATCAATTATTACTTTATAGTACTCTCTTTCACCCTAATATGTTTTTAAACATTTCTCAGTTAGGGTTTTCAAGAGGGACAATTATGAAAGAACCTAAAATATGCATTGGGCAGCCCGGTGCACAATGGAGTCCCCTCATGGAGAGGGTCTGAGACTCCGAGGAAGGGTCCCACCACAAGGGTGTGTGTATAGGGAGCAAGCCTTCTCATTTCATTTTGACAAGAGACCACTCCTAAGGCTTGAAACTATGACCTCTCAGTCACACAACAACACCGTAACTGGTGCACCGAGGCTCCCTTTCAACCTTAAATATGCATTGATTAACAAAAACGAATTATATTTAGGACCACTTTAATATACCTTATTATAAGTAGGACTGAGGGAGTACAGTGTAAGGATATATGGAAACTTACAAGCAAACGCGGGTGAGACTAGCCAAACGAAGGCCAAATAAGAAGACCCGGCCTTAAAAAAATGTCCCAATGCCAGGAGAATAAGCCACTGGAAGAGACCTGCCTTAAGGATCCATCTTTCAGCATCTAAATTAGCCACAGCAGTTCGAACAACGGGAGGCAAAGTCCCCTTTGTTTGGGACAAGTATTTCACAAGAATGAGATAACCAAAATGTTGGCCGGTCCATGCCCCGAGAAGAGATGGTGCACCAAACAAACCAACCACTAGTAAAGGGCTTGAAACAAAGGGAACTGGCGATGGTGATACAAGGGGAAGGAAATAAGCAACAAAAATGGAGAAGCCTATAGACCCTATCCACATGAGTACTATGCTCAAGCATGATAATGCCAGTGAAACTACAGCTGGATAACCTCCTACATAGAGAGATGCGATCCAAATTAAAAGTGATTGCAGTATCACTGAGTTATACAGCATATCAGCAAAGCGTTGACGGTATACAATCATGTATGTTCCCTGTTTTTTAGGAATAAGGATATATTAGAAATCAACAAATAGATAGGTCTATTAGAATCCAAAAACACTGGGAAAATAAAAAGTAAAGAAAAACATAGAGAATAATGGGAAGGAAAGGGGAAAATAAAAAGAGGCTAAAACTAAATACATTTGTTCGAGGTATTTTTTCGTACTTATTTAATTTATGCATACTGATTACATATAGACTAAAAAATCTAAATCCGTGTAAAAAAATAAGTGGTCATATTTATTTTCGTCTACATTTTCTAATAATAAACCAATTTTCCTTTCCATTTTATTGTTTTGCCTAGCATTTTATGGAATACAAAACAGACCCATAGACGAAAAACAAAATGAAACATTATATGATATTGTGATTTAAATTACCAATATATCAAAGTATACAGCTGTATCCTGGTTAGATTTTCCTTCAGATTCAGTTGCCATGCCTCTTCCAGGAAGGTCGGTTGATGCTGCAGCCTTAAGCAGAAACGCAAGCATGTTTTCGCCGAGATGTTGAAGAGAACCAGGTTTTAGAAGAGTCAACTTGTCATTCTGGATGCAAGAAAAAAAAAATCATAACATTACCTTTAAATCTCAAAATAATGTTATGAATGCAGCCCATATATTGGGACTTGAATTTAGAATATCAAACTTCTCATGCCATACCTTAGTGTGGTATACAGCTGTATTTTCTGTAAATGCAAAGTCAAGTCCTGAAAGACCACCTAGTTCTCTGTACACTTGAAAATCAGTGGCAGATTTGATTATCCCAGATGAAAATAAATCCTGCAATAGCAAGTCGTCTATTAATATAACTCTAGAAGAGAAATTTAAAAATGGAAAGTAAGATCCTTTTTATGCTTAAAGAATATGCATGATGGACCTGTGCAACAATTTGGGCAGATGGGAATTTTGCCACTTGTGCGAAGATCTCAATTGGCCATGGGTCAGGACCAGCCTGTCAAACAAAGAACAAGTGTAAAAAGGAAACAAGAATCCAGTGAGTACAATTCTAAACCTTAGAGTTTATAAATAAAATATTAATTAATAATTTAAAGCATGGTTGTGGCCTTTACTATACTACCCCCATCCGAAAAAAGGAGGCAAACTTCCAAACTCATTTTTGTCCCAACAAGATAATTATATTTCAACAAAAGAAGCTAATTTACATTGAAAGTCATGTAATTGTTTAAGCCAATTAAGTATTTTAACGTGAGTTTAAAAAAATGAGAGTGTATATGTAGGACTGATAATTACAAAGCGGTGAAACATGGTGTTTTTTGGAACAAAGTATTCTTATACGTAAGGGCTAAGGTAGACCAATTTTCAGCACATTACATCATTTACATGTGCACACAAAATGAGACCAAAGCAGTACATAACTGAAACACGGAGTAATTCGTCGACGAAAAAAGCTAAAAACCTGAAAAATTCCTGACTTCCCGCCAATACCCATGGCTTCCAAGTCAACAGCCAGTCGGACAGTACTGCTCCAGGGGTGCTGCAAGAATAACTATAAAGGTCAATTGATTATAAAAACTTCGACGCAAAAGTAAAGACAATAATATTTGTTGCAGACCTAATTAATATTTTTTTATTTCACATAAAAGATGATTATCTATTTTAATTGATGAGGCAGAGTAGAAACATTAATTAAACAGTTAACTAACAAACCAAAAATAAAAGACCAAATAAACAAAAGGTCCAGATAAAGGGAGAACTCCCAATCAAGAAAAGTAGAAAACCTGAGTTACAAAGCTATGAGCACCATTCAGTCCTTCCTCCTCGCCGGTATTAAACAAGAATATAACAGAATTCTTGAAACCGTGGGCCCATTGAGAAACTCCTCGAGCAAGCTCTAACATAACTGCTACACATGAACTACAGTCTCCCGCTCCTTCCCTAAAGAAAAAAATCATCAAACCGAGAAGTTAGAGCCACATATTATCATGCAGTTGTACATGTTGTCTATTTCCATAGGCTTATGACAGAACTTCAAGATTTTTTCCCGAAAATTCATGACAACTAAGCCATTGTTTGGTTTGGGGGTTTCATAGGGAATGGAAGTCAAGGGTGAAATTCATTTTTTTACATCTGAGGGTTCAAAAGAATGAGAAGATGCGAATTATGGAGTATTTAGAAATACAGTAATCAATTATTCTAGTTAATAGAAATAACTTGGTAAAACAAAAAATCAATTCTCCCCTGCCTCCGAAACCCCATAACAAAACAAGCCCCAAGTGATCATGTATCATGATAAATAAAAGTATAAAACAGCTATCACAACTTAACGATTCCGTTAACATTGCCTCATTATATTTTCAGTGCAAGTGGGGGAAACCTGTGATGATGTCATGATGACCGGTTTTGGGTTTCATCTCATTATTACTTTATAAGAGGGTTGCTACAGTAACGGATTCCGGTGTAACTGTCACTGTGTTTTTTGCATGAATTTATAGTTTTATAAGAGGTGCGGTTTTTTAAAAAAGTGGAATTGTGTGGTTGATATTGAATTGATAAATATGAATAAAGTAAGAATGAATTACAACCACCCAAATATTACCATATATGGTATAAGACAAACTTAGTGGGACGGACAAAAAAAGGTAAATGGGACAAAGATAGGGGGACGGAGAGAGTATCAGACAATTAATTGACAAAATGTCACTGATCTCAACATAATCGAGAATTTGAGATAAAGGAGGTCATGATGAGTTGATGAAGAGTAAAGACAACAAAAAAGTAATTCAGTGGTTGAATAAGTTTTACCAAATGATCAACAATATGAATTTCAGACCAAAATAAGTTCTAGAGAAAAATGTTCGTTGCACAAAAGAGAAGAATTGTAACAAGTCTACTAAAGAACTAGGCTAATTTGATTTACTTAAAAAAACTAGGCTAATTTGAGCTTAAGTTGTCCAATATAAGTCCTCCGTTGATCTTTTTAAATTATTTATTTTGACATTTTATGTTGTGAAATTCATGATCTTTCTTTATCACTTACAACATGAGAAAGTTAAAGCGTGTATTAAAAACCCTTATTATGTTAATATGTAATTATTGAGCATGTGCCTCCATCTTGATGGAAGGAGGTGACTTTAAATACATAAAACCTAAGAAAAACAGATACAGAAAAAAATAACATACGCAGAGAACACGGTATCAATGTGGGACGAAACAAGAATGGCATTTTCTTCTACATTAGTTGCATATTTTGGTGATATTCTCACTACAATATGATCCAGATCTGAATAAACAAGGGTTTTCCCCTTAAACAGCCCACCAACAAGATGATTAGCACCAGATTTTGCATGAAAAATGTCAACCTCCATATCAACCTCCCAATGAGCCTCCTTCTTAATAGCTTCAGATGCTTGCAAAACATACTGCACCAAATTTGTGATACGTGGTAAGTAAAGCTGATCAAAATAAAACCATTTTATGCATGAATTATTTGTTCATATATCTTTAGTGAAAGTGTAAAACAAAATCCAAACACTGCTTGAATTCTCTCTATGCTTTTAATTCCAATTTTCGATAATATTTTCACAAAAAAATAATTTACACCAGATTTGAGACACATTAGAAACAATCTAGCCAATCAAACAACAAAATGAGCCAATTTGTGGAAAAACGCTTTTGTGAAGAATAAGCTAAAAGAGCAACATTAATTAAGGAGTTCAACCATATAGCAGAGGTGAGACACTAGCATACCTGCAGGGCACTGTCTAAAGAACTTGAACCGACCGGATGTGGGCCGAGTTCAGTCAATGCAATGACATGCTTCATGGCCTCAAGTTCAGAAAAACCTCTTTTACCGGCATACTCTGCGCTAAGGGCCTTAGGAAGGCTCTCATATTGATACCTATACACTCCCCAAGTTGCATATATAACCAACACTAACATCACAAGTATTGCATACCCTGACCTCTTAGCCACTATATGCACATTGGGTTTCACTTGGGTACCCCTCTCACTAGTTATATCACCTCCACCAACAGCATTTGACTTTGCAGCAACTTCTTTAGGCCTCTGTCTCATTTTTTCTTTTCTATTTATCTTTAGTATACCAATTCTTCAGTGGATCATAAACCTGGTTGAGAAATACTAATTAATAGAACTTAAATTAAAATCCTTTTTTAGACCAAAGGAAAATAAGATATCCTAGAATCTGAAATTAGTGATATTTAGCAATACTTAGCATGATGACCGATTTATCTACTTTGTACATACAATATTTGTGAGAACAGGCAATTAGTCGAAGTACAAGACGCCATGAGCAAGACCCAAAAAAAAAACAAAAAACTACTTAATAAAAAAATTGGAAAGCTAAAAAACATGTGCAAGAATGGGTAAGTTAGAGAATAGTTGTATACTTGTATCTACGCCACAAATAGTGTACCAATTAAGCATGAACAAAGCTTACCTTAATTTAGAGAATTAGAGGAAGAGGGGAAAGTCTGATTCTTTATATGCCGTTTGAGATGAATAAACAGATAGCGAGCACAGAAGCGGTGGGGCTAGGAGCTGCCTGTCAACTGTGCAAGTGTGAAGGTGGTTCTGAGCAAAAATTTCAAGGAGCCCAGTATGAATCAGAGTCGGGGTATGAAATACCCATATACGAAGTATATAACACTAATTATAAGAATAATTAAAATTATACCTATAATAATAATAATTATGATTATAATTGTAATTATTGATCTAATTATAGTTATATCTATGATTATAATTTTAATTGTATAATTATAGTTATAATAATAACAATAAAAGTGATAAATAATGTCTGAACTTTTTTTATCGGGTCTGAATGTTTTTGGTGTGATCTGAATATTTTTAATTATCTAATCTGATTCAATATGAATCTTTCTGATCTGATCTGAATAAAATAAGAATAAATAATACTCCGAATGAAATAGTTTCTATGGAGTCGATTTAAATATAAAATTCATTCTCTCTCACTAACATTGAAGAACTGATATATTTTCTCCCAATGAAATAGTGATCACTTGCAAGATGTGTAGAGTTTAAGTTGAATATAACAGTTTCTATAGGATTTATAGCTCTTCAATTCGAAATATATAGAGTTCAAGTTCAATATTATTCGACTAATCGTATTTATAAATTTGGGACTAGAATGTAGGGCATAAATCAAGTAAAACTATAATTTTACTTGTTTTCCTTGAATAAGTGAAATTTGACATGCTACACATTTCAGAGAATAAACAGCATTCTCACATTTAGTGAATCTATTTGTTTTTTTATCATTACAACAAAAACAACATTCTAAGCCATATACTCAAAAGATTTTGTGGTCAACTAACACGAATGGATTCATGATATTAAAATCAAAAGGAGAAGAAAGATAAAAAAGAAAAAAATGTGTTCAACTTCTATCTAAATCATCATCCTTCTGAATTATGGAGCCCAAATAAGAAACATATCACACACTCATATCTCTTTGCCATCAAGGGTAATCACATTGTTACTACTACTTCTACCTCCACCAAACTTGCAGTCCATATATTGAGTCATAATTCAACTCAGTGTCAAAAATCTTGGTCTTCAATGTTCATCCTCATACTTCTGACTTTGTTTTAACACCCGATTGTGTCTCATCAATCAATACAACATCGTCGCAAATATCGCAGACCACGATATATCTTCTTCAATTGATTTCGTAAGTTCATCCACGACTATAGCAAATAAGAAAAGACTCAGAACTGATCCTTGGTGCACTGTGATAGTAATAGGGAACCTGCAGTCCTCTCTACACTAGTACGAACACTTGTAGTACAAGCCTCATACAAATCCATGATGATTCTTGTATACTTACATGATATGCTTTTTCTAATTAAGACCCACCAAATGATTTCTCGAGGTACCCTATCATATGCAATGTCTTGTCTAAGTTAATGAACATCAAATGCAAATCTTTTTTAGTATCTATATACTTCTCCATAATTTTTTAAGAAGGTAAATGACCTCAGTTGATGAGTGTCCACACATAAAATCAAACTGGTTCTATGAAAATTTTCACACTTTTAGAAGCCTTTGTTGAACCACTCGCTCTCAAAATTTCATGGTGTGACTCATAAGCTTATTCCCTCAATAGTTGACACATTCTTGTAGAGTACCCTTAGTTTTTAAATAAAGGGATAAGAATACTCTTCCGTCAACTCACTGATACTTTGTTGTTTCTCCAAATCATGTTAAAGAAACATGTTAGCCACTCGATGACTCTCTCTCCCTAACTTCTTCAGGCCTCAATTGGTATTCCATCTGGACCCACTACTTTCTTCCGCCTCATCTTTCTCGGAGCCTCTTTAACTTCTATCATCTGACTCCTTCTCACAAAATTCTGATTTACCATACAATCTGGTATAATAAGATCATCAATACCTTACACTTTATTCACGTTGAACAAGGTATCCAAGTTGAATGTCATAAAAGTTGAAATCACTAGAATAATATGTTTATAATAGATGTTCATTTTGTGTTCTATAGTGACTAGTTTTGTTGTAGAGAAATGTGTGTTTCATCATTTGATGTATCATGCGGATTTGGGTGTATTTTGTAAAATAAATGAGCAACCAATATTTGAGCTTATACTCCCTCCGTCCTGAAATGATTTGCAAACTTTGACTGACACAAGAATTAAGGAGTGATAATAAATGATGCTTGTTTTTACACTTTTGCTCATCTTCCCAAAAGTAGATGTCTTTAATTAATGGAAAAAGTAAAAGTAGGGTAAATTTGTCACTTTATTCTTATTTACATACTCAAAATAGAAAGTGGAAAATCATTTTGGGACAATCAAAATAGGAAATTTTTCAAATCAAATTGGGACGGAGGGAGATGACTTCAAATAATTTTGGTGACTGTTCTATTAAGTCAATGTCTGTATGTTATCATCTTCTCTTAGTAGCATGCACACACCATGCATCTTTGTATTTATACGACACACCAGCCTTAGAACTTGGAAGCAATACAAGTTATACACACATTTTGTGTTGATTATTTAGTTTTGTTGATGACTAACCTTGAACAGAAAAGAATACTATCCTTGGGTCCAAAAGTCAATAATTTGTTACCTAACTAACCATGCAGGTGGACCTTTGGATAGAACCACGATTAGTTCCTCTGAAGGAACTTTGTTCTGGTTGACTTAAATAACTGTCATGAATGATAAATGAATTGATATAGGCGTGCATCTATGACACAAGACTATTATGCACGTGGCATATCTTTCTTTGTGACTAAGCATTTACTTTAATGACTTAATCTACATGTGTGCCACATAAGTACCTTGTCACCATTATGATTGACCACGCCTTTCATCTTTCTATAGATGACAAATGATAACTCCTTTGGTAAGGATATAATTGTGGCGTGACTTACTAATATTCTGGACGTGGCTTGCTCGTATATTTATGTATTACTATGCTGTCTTGCCATCTTGATTTAAATTGCCATATTAATATTTGATGACCGTAGATTTTCTAATGAGATATTTTTGTAGACTGATCTAAATTGATTGCATGAATATTTTATTGCTACTTAATGTCCATTGTATATTTACATGATAAGTAAATCTATATTTTCTTATATAATGATTCGTGAATTATGAGTCAATTGACTCATATTTGAGAACGAAGAAGAGAGAGAGAGCTACTGAAAGGAAAGTAATTCAAATAATATCAAGGCAAGTTTCAAGTATGGAAGTTCAATTACTCAAGGAAAGAGATACACCAACGGACAAATCAAAGTGGCTTATATATTCGAGAACCAAGAGGAAGATGGGTGTGCTTGACCGAGCAATTACAGAGAGAAATACTTATAAAGAATTATCAAGACCAAGGCACCTGGACCTGCTCACGAAGTTCTAGACATAGTTTCTTTTCCCTTCTTTATCTTGTAACTAGATTTTGAGGAAAAACTAAAGTGTAGCCTCCTCGGGTTGGGGGCGTGTGTGTGAGAGATTTGTTGTAAAGCTAAGAGGCTCTCTACCCGCAAGGTAGAGATGCATAACTCTTCCTAGAGAGAATAGAGTTGGGGTGGCTCAAGGGTAGATTAGGAGAATTTACATTGTAACCACAAAAGGCTTTTTAGTGAAGTTGTTTAAAATTCCTCCGAGGGAGGTCGAGATTTTTTAATCCCTTTGAGCCAAGGGACTTTTCCTCGTTAAATCCTTGTGCACTTTACTATTTCGCATATCCCTGAACCCCACACTAGAACTGTGCAAAAAACTGTCACGGTTCCACACACACACAATTCACCCCCCCCCCCCCCCCCCCCCCTCTTGTGTTGCTAACCGTTTCATCATTTAATATGGGTTGTAATAACCCATACGGATAGTCTTCCATAACGGTTGCTTTTCACCCGATATGAAAACTTTTTCGTAACGGTTCAAAATTACCCGTTATTAAAACCTTCCATAATGGTTCTCGAAGCCATATTAAAAGTACCAGACTTTTAATAGGTGTTGCAACAATAACGGTTATGAACCATTATTAAAAGTCCATTATAACCGTTATTAAATCCATATTTTCCACTAGTGATATGCAGACATAGGAAGAAAACCAGCTGGATTTGAGGTGGGAGAAAAAGTCCTACTTAGAGTCTCTCCGACAAAGGGAGTAATGAGATTTGGGAAGAAAGGCAAGTTGAGTCCTCGATTCATCGGACCTTATGAGATTTTGGAGAGAGTGGGAAGAGTAGCCTACAGACGTGCTCTACCCACTGAGTTAGATAAGGTATGAAGCGTTCAAACTCTTTAACATTATTATCAATCTAAAAATACCAATGCATGATATATTAGGTACACAACGTCTTTCATGTATCTCAGTTAAAGAAGTACGTCCGTGACGAGTCTCATATTATCAATCCGGAGGTAAGAACCTCAACCTTAGAACTCTTGAGACCCAAAAATTAGACACTGCAATTAACATGTAATCTATTAGGTGGTTGAGTTGGATGAGACTTTGACTTATGAGGATAGGCCTGTCAAGATTATTGATAGCAAGAGTGTCCAGGGGCGGACCGTAGTAGAGATCCAGGGGGCTACCGCCCCCGAACAATTTTTTTTAGTGTATATATACGAAAAATAATTTTCGCACTCCCAAAAAATATTTAGAACCCCCCAAAAAATATGTTCGCCCCCCAAGATGACTTTCCTGGGTCCGCCCCTAAGCAAGACACGTGAGACAAGAAGAAAGGCGATTAAAATGGTGAAAGTTTTATGGTCAAACCATTTGGCCGAAAACACCACTTGGGAAACCGAAAATGACATGCGAAGCCGTTATCCGGAGTTATTCGATTAAGGTAAAATTATAGTTATGGGGACATAACATCTCTTTTAGGGGGCAGGATAATACCTGATAATTTTATACAATTGGAATTGTTTTCTTAGCTTATGCTTCGAGGACGAAGCATCTTTTAAGGGGGGTAAAATGTAACATTCTGAAAATTTAAATAAATAAATAAAAAATGATTAAATGATGATAGTGACATTTTTATGATAATTATGGTTGATAGATAAAATTGTGACTTAAACAATAAAAACAAATAACGATTATTATAGGTAGAG